CAAACCCCCATCTCCATATTATTGCACTCTATATATTTATTTCCGTCCGGCCGTTGACTTGACCGTCGGAGTGCAAACGGTCGGCGGACATTTTTCTTGTCCGGCCGTCTTTGCCTCTTGACGGGGTGCTACATGCGCATGTATCGAGAGGACGAGGCTAGGGAACCTGTTGGAGCCATTTTTGGAGGTCAACAGTACATGCAAGGCAAAATAACATATTGTACATTTATAATTCAGTTTCAGTTCCAAAATATGAGTAACTACATACACAGATGTAATCCAAAAAAAATGATTCTTCTAGTTCTCATTCTTTCTCGGGGAAAATTTCTTTGTTGGATTCTCAATTCTAAAATCCCCAGCATAGAAATCTCCTCGACAGTTAGAAGAGAGAAAGATGTATGTTGGTGATGATGAGGTCTAAATCTCCCAATGAAAATTTTGTACTTAATGAAGCAATCGCATTCAATCAATGGCATGGATGAGCAATTTTTGAAATAGACCAAGACGCGAGAGAGAGAGAGAGAGAGAGAGAGAGAGAGAGAGAGGCGTGAAATTACATTGATTATGAAAAAACTGGACTGGTAGATTTGGAAACAAGATTGGGCATGGAAGCAACTGAATGCTTAAGCTATTACGTTTATTATGGGAGTTCCAAAATATCATTGGGGAGATGGCTCTCTGTCGGGTTTCGATACCTAATGAAACCCGAACTATGATATAAACGTCGGATTGAATTTCATAGAAATTGGGTGACGAGTTGTGTGAGAAACAAGACGAAAAACGTGGCTGCTCTTTCTGCTGAAAATCGGCTACCATAGTTGAGAGAAAATCGGTGCCTTCATCTTATGTATTTTGGTCCCTTCTCTTGCCTTCTTCCATTGTTTTTTTCTGTGTCTTTGTGACCTACCGTGAGAATATGGTTTTCTTAACTCCATTAGATTTAAGTGCTATTTGTGTCATTCACATGGATTGTGCTTGTTTAGTTTTATTGTGGACCATTGGATGGGATCGACGGCTGAGATTTATTCTATGTGAGATAAAATTGTTGCTTTAGCTTGTGTGAAAAGCTTTGACTATTTTCCACCAAATACGGCTTTCTCACGTTTTTGGCAAAAACAAGTCTCTCTCTTAAAATTCGGCCCTCTCTCTTCTCCTCAAGACTTCTCTCTCCATTTGCACCTTACTGTGAGTGTTCTTGAGAGTGCCTTCTTGTGAGCTTCTTCTTGAGTGTCCCTTGTAATAACTTAGGCTTGAAATAATGGCTAAGTATAGGTGATATTTCTCAAAGCTTGGTAGAAGAGAGGGGTGCGGTGGTGGCGGTTTCAAAGGAGATTCTTTGCTGGTTTTCTAGCTCTCTCTTTGGAAGGTGATTTGCATGACATAAGAGCTATTCCTGAGCCTAAAAATCAGCCATAAACAAGAGAAGTTGCTGTCCAGATTTTCGGCCATTAATGGGTTGTATTTTCGGTTTATGTTTCTTGCATTTTTGCCTTGGAATCTTTGATTAAATGATGTTTATTGTTGATTGAACTCCGAGATCCCAACACCTACAAACCATCACCGTTAACTTGCCTTTTGTGGGTGAGATTGAGAACCAACAAAAGTGAATATATTGATTGTTGGTTAGAGTTGTGTGGATTGTTGTTTGGTAGAGACAGGTAACGTGAAACTAAATCCGAAAATCACCATTTTCGAAGATCTTGGAGTAAACTTCCACGATGCACATTCATATTTGATCAAGAGAGTGCCAACTAGAGTTTTGAAGTTTGAAACTCTTTATGAACAATTTGCTTATAAGTCTTCCTCACATTCGAATCAAGTGTTCGGTTGCACTATTGCTGTTCATATTCATAAACAAGACCGCTCAAAGCTTGATCGTAGTGTTGAGAAGTGTGTGTTTGTTAGGTATTCTCCTAAACAGAAAGGGTACAAATGCTACAACCCTATCTCAAAAAAGTCCTTTGTGAGCATGAATTCTTTGAGAATCAACTTTATTTCACCTAAAACACTCTTCAAGAGGAGAGTAATGAGAGGGAAGAATACTTTTGAGAAATGCTGAACTCTCTGCCATTGCCTGGTGTTTCACCAAATCCTTCTTAGTGTTCCAAGTACATCAATTACCTCGCCACAGCCTATTGAGTGAAACATTATAGACTAGACTTTAAGGGAGAACCACCACATATTGAATCGCAATCTAAGCTTCATGTTTATCATGGCTTGACCTTGAGGTCCTAGATTTCTTTTAGTAAGTCCAGTTTACATATTGTTGGCAAAGTGACATTTTCTTGCAGGGATTAGCTTGGCAAGCATCCTTATGCAATTGCAATCTCCCACTCCGACTATACGAATATGGGCATTTTCCCTCAAATATCGAAAACCTAGCACAAAGATTTCGTTTTTGGGTTGTGCTTCCCTTAGTCTATATCGAATATATCTACACGGTTAACCTATGGTCTCATTCAAATAGAATAAGTCCCTTTGGGCAAAATAAAGAGCACAAGTACCAACCTACAACTTGTCCAGAAAATTCTCCAGATAAATCCTAGTGATCTTAATACTCCAATTGCACTTAGGAAGTTCTGGTGTCAACATACCGACAGAAATGAACTTTGATCCTATATAACCTGACCAATTCAATCAGGTACTGGCCATCTATTTTATTGTTCAAATATTTGATAATACGAAAAACCATAACTTCTGCTACTAATCTCTAATTGTTTCAATCCCTGAAACTAAACAAGAGGCCTGAATCATGCTAAACAGAAGGCAGCAGTTATAGAAGAGATGACTGATGAGAGCTCTCAATAAAAATTTAACTTGGGACATTGTTGAGTTGCCAAGGGAAAAGAAGGCCTCAAGTTGAAAATGGGTGTTCGCAATAAAAAACAAGGCAAATGGTGACAGTGAGAGATACAAGGCAAAACTCGTAGAAAAGGGCTTTACCCAAATATATGGGATTCGTTACCAAGAAACTTCTGCTTCAATGGCAAAGATAAATTACATACGAGTTTAATTGTCTCTTGCTGCACATTTGAGTTGGCCATTACGAAAATTAGAGGAAAACAATGTCTTTTCAAGTGAAGATCTAGAGGAATATTTTTTATGGACCTGCCACTTGGTTTTAAAGGTTATTAAGGAGTTGGAAAGGTTTGTAAACAAAAATTCGCTCTACGGGTTGAAACAGTCATGACATGGTTTGATATATTCATCGAAGTTATGCGAGGTCATGTTTATCGTCAAAGTCAGGTTGATTAACTATTCAACAAAAGATCAAGTAATAGTAAGATAACCGTTCTTATTATTTATGAGTGCATAATCTTAACAAAAATAATGTAGAATAATTAGACTTAGAAGCATTTCCTTGCAAGAGGATTTGAGATTAATGATCTTGGAGCATTGAAATACTTTTAGGACGGAGTGTGCTAGATTTAAGTGAGTGATACTTGTCTGTTATTGGAAGTATGTGTTAAATTTACTTACAAGATCCAGGCAAGTATGAACTCCAATTTCTAATTTATTTTTTTTAAACTCATTTTTAATTAAACATTATTCGAATAAAATAATTTTACACTTGGATTCATAATTTATCTACTTTTTAACTATGATTTCTCCAAATAATTATCTTTTACAAAATTTATTTTTAGCGAATCTCCACCAAATTGGGAATAATTACTTGGCTATAGACTAGCAAGAACACATGGAGAGTTCGATTTAAAAGTTACAAGTAGCTAGTCCAAAAAGTGGTCAATATACCGACTCAAATTGAAATGGTGTTAAGGAAAAAGCCCATGTTTAACCACAAATTTTTAATCTCATATTGGAATTCGCAATTTTTATCAATTATTCAATCAAATTAACCAAATTAGGGCTAAATATTTTGATTGTCAATAAACTTTTATATTACTCAGTAAATTATAAATTTTTTCCGATTCACCACTTAAGTTATCCCAATAGTCGATCCCAACTAGGGTGTCAACGAGTCGAGTCGAGCTGGCTCGCAAGTCGAAACTCCTGACTCGAGCTCAGCTCAAGCTTTTTTACATCAAGCTTTTTTTGGCTAAGTCGAGTCAAAGAAAAGTTCGGCAAAAAAATTAAAGCTCAACTCGAGCTTTCGGCTCAAGCCTTGTCGACCTGCTCGAATTTTTTTTCCTTCCCTTTGCTACCTGTTTGGCAGCCAAACATGCATCTTCTTTATGCTGCTGGTTGAGGCAAGCAGCCATAAGAAGCTGCCAATCAAGCTGCCTTAACCGGCAGCTTTATGGCCGTTGTAGATTAAATTTTTTCCTCTTTTTATTTTTATTTTTTAATTTTTAAACGGGCTGGCCCATGTGGCTCGTCAAGCCACAAGGGTCGGCCCGAGCTTCAGTCAGCTGAGACCAAGTCAGGAGTTTATATGTGTGTGTGTTGTGTTAAAGATTATCATCTGTGTGATGTTTTTTTTATTGTATATATGTATACAGATTGATAGTACTGTATAGTCATGGAATATAGGTTTTCACTATCCATTTAACTGTCTCTATTAGTGGTTGTGTTTATACGTGCAAATAGACATTTTGAGTTGGTGACACAAATAAACTTATAAAGAATACAAATTTACATTAATTTCAAACATCACAAAGTATGTCATCTTTTTTATCTCCAACATCATTTTTATCACTTTTATCTCAAATAATCTTTTCATTAACATTGTGATCATCCGAAAAAGCATATTAAAATTTTTTTTTTCCATGAAAACAATCCATTCAAGTGAAAAATACAAAAATCATAATAAATTCTGAATGTTACATTATCAATTGCATTCCAGTTCAAACAAGACAAAAAATCATAGCAAGAATTCATCACCATAAAATTGCCAAAACAAGATAGAATTCGGAGCACTCAAGAGAATCCCAATTCCATTTCCCAAAAAAAAAAAAAAAAAAAAAAAAATCGTCAAAAAGAAATAATTTTCTAAGGCTTAAAATCTATTTGGGCACTTCTGGGCAGTTGGGCCACGGGGAAATGGTTAATAGCTTACAACCGAAGCCGGTAAAGGCCGTGGAAGGCTTCGTTATTAGTCATGCCTCTGCTGGCTGGAGCCATTCCGGATTTGTTTCAGGCTTTCTGCTCTCACCATCTGCTTGTAAAAATAACTAATTGAAAGAAATGGAATCAAGAGTTTATAGGGACTTTAAAAGTTGAAAGCTTTTTTCGTTATGGACTAATGCATTTGATGCCCTATTTTATGTTTTTTGGTTGATCTATTCTTTTTTTAGAATCTTACTACTTGAGATATTTGCTGAAGTTTTTCCTGTTTTCTGGAGATTTATTGATTTAGTAAGTCTGGATGTTAGAATTCTAAAAATGAGAGATTGATGCCTCTTTCAATACTTCTTTACGTTATTTTTGGTGGCACCAAATTCATACACTGGATTTCATCTTACATGCATTTTTCACAATTTTGATTCAGGAATTTGAATCTCCAAGTAGCATATCATAGCTTCAACTTCCATAGAAGTTAATCTTTTGAAGGCTTAAATCCTAGTACTACTACGTACTGTTTTTCATTTGTTTAATTCTGGACTTTAGTGATTGTTGAGCATTCATCTGGGGGATCGTGATCGATTACTTATTCTTTTCTCAGACACTGGTTTGCTATTCACCTGTGGAGATGGTTCATTTGGCCAGCTTAGGCATGGTGGTTATAAGTCGCAATGTACTCCGGTAAAAATCTCATATTTCAGTTCTAAGCATGTTGATCAAATAGCTTGTGGTATGCGTCATTCACTAGTCTTACTAAAAGGTAATTTTGCAAGAAACTTTCATGGTCTTTGTTCAGTAAATCGAAAATTTATTCTAAATGACTCTTGTAATTAAAGGATCATTGCATTTAAAAGAAATTTCTAATAAGTAAGTGGAACCGTTGCAACAGTATTTATGAAGGATTTATTGCGAACAGGAAAGGTTTGGATGGAGGGGGAATTATTAAAAAATGAGAAGTATGCTATGAATTTTCCCTTACACAAAAACTTCTCCATACTCGATAAGTTTGGAGGCCAAACATTCCAAACTCGCCCAACTTGTTCAGTTTGGAGATGGTGGAAAGTTAGTTCTACTTTGATTTGTGGCCTTTTTTAACAGGATAAAATTAGTCTGTTCTTCTTCCTTTTTTTTTTTTTTTTTTTT